ATATATACATATATTTTATATATATACATATAACAGATTTCAGTCCATCAGAATTCCAGTATACCCGATTTCTAATAAGTTGAAATCTGTTAATCCTTATTCCTTTCATTACGATTGAGTTTATACAGGCATAGACCAGTATTCATAGGCTGCGTTCAGTTTGGACGCTTTCAGCATTGCTATTCTACATCTAATGAACTATAAAGACAGAATGATGATTATAAGTGCTTAAAGAACAAATCAAATACAGCCATAATCGGTTCTTATTTCAAAACTGTCTTAAGTAATGTCCTAAGACTAATACAGTTCTGTGATTGATGTCTTAAAACTATATTTAAGATCATAAAAAGATGTTAAATATATTTAATATCACTCAAAACGATATTAAATATAAGAACCAAATATCAACTGTAATCTTTAATAAAAGATTCTTTAGTTTTGTTGTTACCATTATACATATCAACAGCAGCACGACAGAAGTATCCATAGTCCTTCCTTCTTATATCCTCACTCCACTTGATCATTTCCAATCGATACTTCTCCTTGTATTCTCCATGTCCCAGTAATTGATTGATGTCGAGACCCAGAGATTTTGACCAGTGTGTTTTTATAGGTCCTGATAAGCGTATAATTGTACTCCTTTGTGCACCTATTCTAAAAATCATGTAAACAAATGTTATGTCAAGAAAAAAATTATATTAATAAATTATATTATTATTTAAGAAAAACATTAACTATATCAGATTAATAATAATTAATTCTTCAATTATTAAGCATAGAAATGTGTCTCTAATATAGCTTCATTTTATTTGACATTTTCATATGTTAATATTCAATTTTCTGCTGAGTAATGCCATTCTGCATTATCTTATCTATAAATAATTTTAAAATATCGATGTAGTACCTGTTGTACAAGATATCAGTGATGTAATCCTTTCCAGATTTCCTTTTGCCGCTAAACAGTAAAATCCTTTCTGGTTTCGTCGAATTATTCACGATTTTCGTGACGTCGCGTGCCTCTAGCGCCTGTTCTGTGGCCATATTGACATGTAACGGTATAATCACGATACACTATGGGCACAGGCAGGTACAAGCTGTGTAAGCACCATAATTCATAAAAAAGAAACACCGAATGTACGATAACGAGTCCATTTGGAGTTTTATTCCTATCACACTTATTTCTTTAAAAATTCACGTTTTATCTATTGAGATATATATACCAATATTGTAAAACTAGAGATGGGTGAAAAATAGACTTTTAACCTCAAATGTGTTTTTTTATTTATTTTAATAGAGTCATTAGTTTACACTGAATTTATTTTTTATTTTTAGCTTCACGAAGAGCTTTTCGTTGTTCTGCCTTCTTTAACTGGGCTTTCGGTTTCAGGTTATGTTTCTTCGCAAAGCGTTGATTTCTCAAGAATTTCAGGTCCATCTATAAAGTGCATATAAAAATACATGTATATAAAAGGTACTTGTAGAATCAATAAAGTATGAATGGATATCATTAAAATCTTTAAATACTTTAAATTATTTTAAATATCGAAGATACATATTGAGTGTATTATCTACTGAACATTTCGTCGCACACAATATTTTACATATTTTTTCTTTTACTTCTTAAAGATTACAGAAAATAAAATACTAAAATGAATATAATGTACAATAGATTACATTAATAAAACTTACGCCAAGTGTGCTTTCATGCCTATATCTCTTAGGCTTTTTAATACCATTTCGATGCGCCTTTCTGTCTGAAAAAAATACAAAAATTAACAGTTTACCAATAATAATTTACGTGTTCGATTTATAAGAGGTTTTAAATTAAATATATTTACTACATATATATATTATATATTATATATTTATACATATAATACCATTTAAAAAACATTAAAATTGTATACAACTATGTTTAAAAATCCAATTTACTAGATTTTCTGAAAATTTATTTGTAAAATATACTTACTCTGATTATGATTTGTGTGATTCTTGGACTTGGCCATATTTGGATTTATTTATTTCTACCTGTAACATATATGATTACTTCAAGACACTGTTATACATGCATATTATTTGTTGAGGTTAGGTGACTCGTGAAGAAAACTATTATCTCTCAAGACTTTTGTGTATAATATTCATAAAAAAAGTGTAATTTTATATAATAATAGGTTAAAAAAGTTGCAATTCTTTAAATGTTTTTCTTGATTTTAGTAAATTAAGTGGATTTATAGACTGAAAATTACAAAATCTACAAAAAACCTACACAGCTTTCGGAAACGGAAGCGGGAAGAAACGTGATCAACATCGAATTGAAACGGTCGCGTAATGAAAATGAACCATACAGCGATGCCAGCGCCAAATGCCTTTTGCAATGTTTTGTAGTTTGTATAAGACTGTATATACACTTAAAGTTTTTAAAATAATATCATTTAGAATAATATAGAATATAAAAGATAAAATACAAAATAATTATAAAACAATGGTGCGGCAACATCAGGAGCAATAAAGATATCGATTTCAACCTATCAGAAACCGTGTATTCCGGTGTATTCAAAATCTGATAGGTTGAAATCTTTATTCATTATTCCTAATTTCTTCTATTGTAGCTGCACTATTATTTTTTATCATCTCATCATCATTTTAGTCCTATTTTGCTCGTAGCCAAGATGTGGTGACTTCTATTTCATATGCCTGTGGTGCACACGCTGATTGTACGGTCAGTCCAATGGAACCCATCTGATGTTTAAAATGTCGATTCCGAACGACGATTTTTGTTAAAGAAGTTCTCTTGGTAAAAATACTCTTCTCGGTGGTTAGCTATATTGCCTGTCGAGAGGAGCTACGAACGTTTGAAAAATTTTTCGATTCTGCCTGGGATCTCTGGCATAGCAATCTCGTGCGCTGCCGCTATCTTCACGCTTGCACTCTTGTCTACATTATTTTAAATGGTATTATTTCAAAAACTTGTGATTGTATAGACAGTCTTGTTTAAACTTTACAAAACATTGCAAAGAACATTTAGTACTGGAATCGCGCCGCTATATGGTTCATTTTAATTACTCGATTATTTCAATTCAATTTCAAGGGATAAAAAGAACAAAGATATTCTAGAAAAAATATTACTACACACTTTCATATTTAAAAGCAAATATGTATTCATAAAATAACATGTACATTAGAATTTATCTCTAAGATTTCTGAAATAAGATTAAACTTAAAATAATCATTCGAATTTTTATTTTTATGTAATTTTTCACATACTTAATATGTGTTTTTATTTCAAATTTTTCATGCATTTTTTATACACATTTACAGTAAAGAAAAATATATATGAAATACTTAATACTTAGCACATTTATAAATTAATGACATTTTAATATGAAGATATATTACTCTTTATCTTATAATCTTACACTTTTGTCTCAGGTTAATATATATAAATATATGGCAAACAAAGTATAGAATTATACTAATCCTAAATTTTTGCACTACAAAGTATATCACAGTCAAACTCTGTACTAATAATGATGTACCCACATTAATCTATAATAAATTTCTCATTTATAGATGTCATTATTATAGTAGACATTTTATTTTACAATAACTAATTACTTTAAACAAAAAGTTAAAAAATATGCTTAATATAAGGTAATATAAACAAAAAAGTATAAGCAGACATTAAAAATGTAACGAGACATTTAAAAATATGTATCTGTGCATTATTTCCTATTGTATCATCCAAAAAACATTATTAAGAAAATAATTATTTGAACAATTTTAGATTAATAGACACTGCATGTGAAATGTAAAAAAGTTATATTATAGTAGATGTCTATGTGATTTGCAAACACAGATCGCGCTATGGAATGTACATCGATATTTGAAGAGATATTTTCGCTCTTTATAAACCGGATAATTGTCTTTGTAATATGATCCAATCTACAATTTTTTGCTGGATCTGTCGCTTTTCCAGTAAAGCCGTAGCAGCCTTTTGAAATTTCTCCTCATTTCGACGTATGTACATTCTTGCGTCTTGTTCCATTTGGCTGATTTTGTCAGGTCGGATTTCAACCATCGATAACATTTCCGTTAAATAAGGATTAAATCTGAAGTAAATGTGATCAGGTAGCAGGTCATTGAGCATCGTATGCACAGCTGAAAAAATTGAGATCGATTTTATTAATCATTGTCAATTATAATTTTTCTCTAATTTATTTCCAAATTTCTGCAGTGTAATTAGTTGTACTGCCTTTATTATAGCTGTATTAGTATTACCTTCTGTATCGGTGGCGCTATCTAAAATTTTATAAAACTTCTCTTTCCAGCTCGAGATAGCTACCTCCAGAGATTCGTTTCCACTGATGTGATGTGGGATTCGACCTGTTCCGAATGATACGACGCACTGGATTGGATTATTCGGCCACAACTGTTTGGCTTCGTGTATCGCCACGGCGCACGGGTTATTTACCAAAATACCTAAAGCAAATTTACCAAAATACCTTGTTGCAATCATTCTCGATGTTGCGAAAATTTTTATATGATTTACAGCAGAATGTCGCGTAGCTTACCGCCATCCTGATGAAGATAGTCGCCGTATTTAAATTCCTCAAAGTAACTCGGTGCAGCAGCTGACGCTCTTACGGCTTCCCACAATTTATACTTATGGGACCCCATATACTGGCTTTCCACTCTGTGCGGTAATGTGTAATTTCTAAACACGTAAGCCATGACGCGCTCGTGATTTACTACGGCGGATATTGCTGCAAACTAAAAATGCAAATGCTGTTAAAGGCATTTCTATATTTAAATCACTCGTCTGTGAGACATGCATTATACATTTTATCCGAGTTTCGTTCTCGACAATATATATTAAAATCTACACACCTTCGGTGTGTTTGGATCGCGCGAGGTTTTGATAAGAATTTTGTCGCCTAAATGCTCCGTTAATAATTTTTCCCACAACGCGGTATCGTAATACGCATGACTCCATACTAGACTGCTCGTGCCTTTTATAGCACTCTGTGTAAACACCTTGGTACTCAAATCTTTATATAATGCTGAAACTTCATCCAATGACTTTCTCTTATGTCCTCCTGCAATAATGAGTGAACGATAAGTTCGCGATAAACAGAAACTTTACGAGACATTCCTTTTATTGATGGAATAAAATGTAGAACATGCTGTAAATCCACTTAAAAGTTTACCTTCCAAAATGTCCTTTGGCAATACTGCATGTAGATGACATAAATTAAGAGACGCACACATATTACAAACAAAAAATTATAATCCTTTCTAATATTATCTTATAATAATTATTAATAATCAATGAATATTTCTAAATGCTCATATATTGAGCAATTACCTAATACGGCAGCGAGAATAGCTCCTGTGCTCACGCCGCATATGTAATCGAACATTTCATACGTCTTCTTTCCGGTGAGTTCTTCCAATTTCTTCAGCATCTCTATAACCAATACTCCACGAATACCGCCGCCATCAATCGATAGGATTCTAATACCCCGACCGGGCAGAGGATCGATGTAACCCATTACAGCGAGTGCTTCTCTAATAGATGCTGCAAAAAATACATTATTTGCGTTCAGCAAAATGTTTATTTTGCATAATTTTGTTGAAAATTTTCTCCGCTATTCCTAGAAGTATAATCCAATTACAAAGAAAAGGAAAATGTAAATTTTGAATAATTGAATATTTGATATAATTGATACGTTATCTTCTGTTATCATTGATAGTTTTAGGTGAATTTGTTGTTCTGTTAAACGTAGCCATTGAAACTATACTAGAAAACAGAAGGTGATATATCATCATTTAAAATTTACGTTTTTTTCTATACCTTTAATCTGTTCATCTTTCGTCTTCTGACGAGTCTGTAATAAAATTCGAATCGCTCCCTCTTTGATCGCGTAATGCCTCGCCTCTGGATACTGATCAACATGCAACAATAATTCTTCTAATCTGCGCAACTTCGAAGCATTTGACTCGGCCGATATGATGCTGTTCAAGACGTGACGCGTGCGAGAGACGATGCTGTGCTTCGGAATATTGCTGTGGATGTTCACTTTCCACTTTGGTGTGATGACGGCACTTTGCGTAGCTTTAGAAGATAACTTGAAGAGCAATGCAGAAAAAATTTGCGGCATAGTCATGCTATCTTTTGATTCTACTTTATTATCGGGTGTGCCTTGCTCACGGATTTGCTGCAAAGAAATTACTTTTGTACTAAAAGCACATAAATACTGCTATTGCCTCGTTTAGATTATGTTCCGTTACATGCATAGTACACATGAGATATTATTTTAGTCTGTTATTCGCAAAGTGTTAAACAAGGACAAAATGATACATCATGTACATTATATATGCAACGAAACGTAGCCTTAGTATAAATAATTACCTGTTGTGTTTTTCGTTGCACAGTTGTTAAATCAGGATCGGTGAGTAATTCTGTTTGTTCAGGCATTAGCTTTATATTATCTAAATCATTGCTATCTTTATGTTTTATATTTGAGGTCTTGTTTGTAGCAGTACTGACAGATCCTGATGACAATTTTCGTATCGTCTCAAGCTGCGAATAAGTTAATTTCTGCAGGGTATCTAGCCAATCTTTGGAGACAATAATTTGTTGATTCTTGTCACAGTTGGCCTTGTTTAGGTAATCTTTCAATTGCGATAGAAGCTTCCACTGATTCTGCATGGACATTCTGGCTTTCTTTAGATCATTAACGGAACGTAGAAATCTATCAGAAATGCTTGTTACATTTCCACCAGCATCCTTGCCAGTTGCACTATCCGTAAGTTGTCTACAATAAAAAAAACTTTTTCTTTATTTCTGACAAGTATAATTCCTAAGAATGAATTGCATTTATACTGATTTTGGCCATTTTCCAGTAAGAGATACATGAGGTCTGTTTTTTATTCTTTATACCAGACTGCACTAAAACTTTGTTTTAACTGAATATTAAACATGTACCTATAAGTTCCAAAAGTATACATTAGTTCAACTGTAGAAAACAGATCTGTATTTGCCAATACTAACAAGAAATGATTTATTGTTTTACCCTGTGTGTTTCTTACTGGAAAACATCCTTTGTCTTTGTGTATCTACAAAACATGGACATACAAACTGTTGCAAATTAGAATTAATTTTAGAGTGACTTCGACTTAAACTAGTCTTAAAATAAAAACGAAACTATGAATACTGTCCTAAGGAGCACTAAAATCGAAAGTAACCTCTTTATTATTCGAGAACGTTTAGATAACACACACGTTTCGCGTCGCCCTTCGTTTTGCGACCGCAATTATTATGCATGTTTAGTTTTTTTACGAGATTCTGTATTAACTGATTCGGATTCTAAATGTCATGAAAATAAATAAACGAAAACAAAATTCGATTGCTAATAACGCTGACACGCTTACACCTGTCAAAATCAGCTGGTCGTACGAGATATCGACGTCTGTTCTTCTTTCGATCCTAACCTGATCCGTGACTCACTTCGCTTAATTTATACGGATTTCTTTATTCTGGAAATTATCTACTACAATTCAATTATCGTATCCTTATTTTGGTAACATCAGGGATAGTTATATTGCACAGCACACGCATAAATGACTTGTAACGACAGTAGATCTGTTCTTTTTAGCTGAATTTCTCTTGTATGATTCTCATCTTTCTATTTTTTTTCACATTAGAGAGAAAAAGAGAAACTGTTGCAAGAAGTTCAACTAAAAAAATTACTGTGCAAGAAGTTCAACTAAAAAAAATCAATCCAGTATAATTTAAGGTGATGACGTAATACGCATTTT